AGATTTCCGCAATGATAGTCAATCTTCCTGTTTGGAYTCCTTGTTCTAGATGCTGTGCTGGGCAATGGGGCTGCAGGTGAAGAGTGTAGCCCCTGCCTTTGGGGAGCTCACAGTCYGCTGGGGGAGCTGCCTGGCAGCTGGGGCACCCAGGAATGTGGAGGGAGACGGCACAGCGGTGCTGCAGATATACACACAGGAGGAGCTTGTGAGAAGGTGGAACCCAGGCCAAGCCTTCAAGGTCAGCCAGGGCTTCTGCAGGGAAGAGTGGTGGAAGAGGTGACCCAGGAGGCAGGAACAGCAGACACAGCACAGAGAGGCTGTAAACAGCATGAGAGGACAARGCAGGGAGAAGGGTTCAGAGGACGGCTGCCTTCCTCCATGCTGCATGAGGGTCAAAGGAGATAAACTGTCCTTGCCATTACTGTGGGGACAGATTTATTTGTGTAACACACCTGAGCACTCTAGACATGCCAGGAATTATGACTTCAGGTGCCTGCCTAATGGGACCCTCTGATCCTCTGTCTTAGCACTCAGCACTTTTATCGTTATCCCCATTTTACAGGTGGGGAAACTTAAGGTCTGTGTGGTTGGGTAATTGCCCAAGCTCTCAGGCAATGAGCAGCACAGAAGCCAAGTTAACACAGCTGGTCTTTCTCGCTTTTGAGAGGTCAGTGCTGATAGGGTGCCCAGGATGGGAGGTAGAGGGCCTGTGTCCTKTGCAGTCTTCAGAGTATCTGCAGCTGGCCCAGAGAATCAGGTTCAGTTGGGCAAGTCAGCCATGCCCAAGGACAGCTGGCCTGTGGCTGAGAAGGGCTGACTCCAGCCCACATCTACTAGCCAAGTTCCATGCTCCCTTCCACTCAGCACTGTGATCGCAGCCCCAGCACACTGGAGGAGATGGGCATTTTACAGATGGGGAGACCGGCAGGGAATTGTGGGGCCAAGTGGCGATAGTCAGTGTCARTGAGGTTTTCTTGGGGACCCTGAGGGCAGTTTTGTGCATAGGAAAACTTTTCAAGACCATTTTGGTTTTAAAAAAGAATGCTTAAGTGGCTGGGGATATAGCTCAGTTGGTAGAGTGCTTGCCTTGCATGCACAAGGCCCTGGGTTCAAAGCACCACAACAAGAAGGAAAAAAAAAAAAAAGAGTAAGAAGGGGTGCAGGATTAAAAAAGAATGCTTAATTTATAAAAGAAAGTAAAAAATACAGTGGGATGTAACAATGTCTGTTAGGAAGAACCTTATTTATAACTTAATTCAACTCCCCTAAATAATTTAAGTTAAATTATAAATACTTTAAAATAAATGGAGCATAAAAATATGTTGGGTATCAGGTTGTCACAAAAGTCCCACTATTGTTTTTATAGCTGTCTTATATTTTTCAACTTTAAATTACAAGTCTCATTTAATAGATCAATGGCTTGCCTAGACCTGTGCAGGAAACAGCCTGCCAATCTGTCACCAGCAGGGCCAGGGCAAAGCCAGAAGCTTTTCTTCCCAAAAGTGCCCTGAAAACATGTTGGTCCCGTCTCCCTTTCCTTCCATTTCATCAGACGCCATGACGGCAGCTGGTTGAAGGGTTTAATGCTATTTACTTTCTTCTCAAGTGCCATCCACCAGAATTTTTGATGGTACAAATAAGTTGAATTTTGCTTTTCTCAACATGAAGAAAAGTTAAGAGTTTCCRCTATTTGGTCTTCTTACTTAAAAGATCCAACATTGCTTATTTTAAAATTGCCCAACAAAGGGACTCATTGCCAGGCAAACACTCTTACCCCTAGATTTTATTTCATGATAAAATATAGGAGGTAGGGCTGG